AGAGTTGAAATAAAAGAAGCACTAAAAAAGCCTCCCCCTTTTTTCTGCTGTGGAGCTAAAAATGGGCTATTTCATCACCAGGCACACAAATATCACAGACAAATGTTTTTGCATGTACAGACAATTAAGAGGGCATAAAGCTACAACTGCTTTTTCTCTGACACAACTAAGATTGGAGGGTTTATAACCTTTGCTGTGAACAAGGGGCTTTACTAACACACTTGAAAGAGAGTTTACTGAAACTGGTCAATATTTTTCACATGACAACCTCTTAGACCTGAAAAATGGCCTTTTCCAGAGAAGAAATTTAGGCAGGAATTTGAGACTATTTTCTTGTGGGAACTGTGCTTATGCAACCACGCTGCCTGTGGTCTCTTGGCCCCTCTCTCTGTCCGATCCCCCCAAATTTTTGAACCTTAAAAAATCATTTTTAAGTCATTTAAAATCCTTACCAAATTTGACAAGTGGGAGAGGTGAGTTTTAAAGAGTTTCTACCGATTTAAAGGCAACTGCTGGGGAAAGAGCAGAGAGATTATGGCCCTGAGAGCGAGAAAAGCAGCTGCACAGACTCATATTTTGTTAGGTACCAGGGAATTTGCATGAGAGAGATCTTATTAATGCTCCAACATGAGGAAACTCTTCTTTAGGGGCTCAGAACATGGGTACAAAGCCATGAGAAAGTGAGTTTCAGAGCTCACCGATTTGTTTCTCTTCTAAATTTGCCAACAATTGAACAAACCACACAAGCAAACCCACCTTATACCCAAACATCCTTATTGTTCACACAAACACTTCTATAATGCAAACATAAACATGGGATAACCACAGACTACAGCTGTAAAATTAATCTCCTACATCCATGTTCATTTACTCACATACAAATTTCTTCCCTCTTTGAAAATTCAGGTCGCACATCAGTTTTTCTTGAGTTCTGCTTGAATTTAGGTTGGATTTAGGAGACTTTGGGCTGGTTTATGACTGTTCTAAATGAGCTGAGCCTGAGGTATGCAGAGGACAGTGCTGGAGGATAAAGGCTTGTGTTGAATCCAGTCTTTTAATCAAGATTATACACAACCTACAATCTGGAAGCAAAATCTCTCCACTAAATTCTGTGTGTGATGCGTAGGTGTAGCTTTTATCAGCTGAGCCTTCCTCCATCCTTTTCTGCCACCTCCCTGCACAAATACCCACCTCACTGCGTGTCAGCACATACTACTGAGCACCACGTAGACCACAGCAGACTCTACTACACGTCTGTTTAGACACATGTAATTTTACACATCAACACGTCATTATTCCTCCTCTTTGCAAACTGCCAGCGTTATCCTGCTTGAGTTCAAACCCTGCACAGCAGTTAGGTTTGTGTATTATATCTGAAACACGTGAGTTATGCAGACCTCAAGTTTTTAAAGTAAGTATGGACTTTAAAAATGTGTTGGATTGAGGCCAGAATGCTCACAACCATACGAGGGACAGCCCTTTGGCCTCCTAAATGTTGTTGTATGTGAATATATTTTCCATTTCCCTATGGAAACCTACTTAAATGACACCATTCTGAAGGCAAGCAATTTAAAATCTCCATGGATTTGGTCAGATAATGTGGTCTCAGATTCTTCTCCCATGTCTCCAGTACCTACAGTAGGTCAGTAATTGCTTCAGTCACAGAAAATGAAACAGACCATCGCTCCAGTGGAGCGCTGGGAGTCGGACACAAATCTTTCCATTCAGCAATGAGAACAACCTCGTTTCATTTTCCAGAAAATTGTTCTCTAGCCAAAAAATACTGGTGATTTTCATTAGAGCAATTTATTTCTCAAAGGCAGCTGAAGACAATTTGTACCAATGACGCTAAATACCATACTTTTGAGTGTTTATGAGGCCGAGAAGCAAAGAAGCTCAGGCAACAAGTCCTTTGAATGCGACGAGGTTTCTACCTATCCCATCTGAGAACAAAATGCATGTGTGCTTTGTGCCCCAGCGTGTTTCTGCGATGAAAGTTTAACTCTCCTCAAGCAGTGCTACAGGTTCTTCTCTATGGAAAGCTATTGCAGGAGAGAAGTGAGAGAGGAAGAAAATAAAAGGGGAAAAGGGAGTAAACTGCAGCTGCAACCAGCCAAGGCAGTTTTGTCTCCAGAGTCACAGCACGAAACCCAGTCCTGCGACAGCAGCGCTGGCCTTGCCGGCGTGGGTCAAGTGATGTCCTGTGCTCCTGGATGACACTGTCCTTGCTGTGGTTCCAGAGCAGGCCCTGCTATGTCTGTCACAAGTTTGGAACATAGTAGAGCCATATGCTGGATCTGAAACGTCTGTATCTGTGTAGCAGCCGTAGCTTTTTTTGCCATGTTGGTTGTTTTTTACAGTATGTGGATGGAATATGTTGTATAAAGCATAATGCGTATGCAAACCCCATGCATTTCTCCCTGGAATTTGCACAAGCAGGTTATTTGCATTAGCTATGTGATCTTAGAGAATGTGCAAGAGAAATTACAGGAGGTGTGAAGAAAATAGCATGTTTTTCCTGTCTCTAAAATATATTGTGCTATTTCATCAGCTCCTCCTGCTTTTGAATCCTCGAGGGAAGGGGGTTAGAAAAAATTGTCTGTTTTTATTCACAGGCATAGAGGAAAGAAATATTTAAAGGATTGGTAGATTCAAGATGTATTAACATAAAGAAAAAATGTTTCATCTTTTGAGAAGTTAAGGAGATGAGAAAATACTTCTAAAAAATAATGATTTTTAACCTGAAATTCCTGTTCCAAAAGAATATCATCATCTTGAAGCCAGCCCCTTAAAAAGCCTTAAAAGGAAGCAAGGAAAATCTTGTTGCCTAACAGACTAGACCGAGGCTGAGGAATTCTGAGTCCAGTTTTAAATACATCACAAGTTTCTTCTGTGATATTGGACAAGACACTTCACTCTGCTCCTCCAATTCCTTATCTGTCAGCCTGTCATGTTCACGTGTCTCTTATCGTGTCATCTTATCTCACAAATGGTATTTGGAACATGAATCAGTTAGAGTAGGTTGAAGTGGGTGGGTTTATCCTAAAACAGTGTTCAGACATCAAATGAATGCAGAGAAAATTTATACATTGGAGGAAGAAATGGAAGAGGAATAGATGGGATTTCAACATTGCTGTGCTAGTTCTTAATTTTTATTTGGCTGCCCCATGGGTGTGTTTAGTCCTTTATTGACACACGATGAAAGTATCATGTAAAGTTAAAAATGCCTAGCTGACAGAAGTCAAATGCAAAATTCTGTCAGCTGCATTAAAGAAACACACTCGAGGGCAGTAAAAATGGAGGGAGAGGAACATTTTTTCCCTTTAATTTATTTCTGCCTGAGTGACTCTAGGCCCAACTCACAAAGTTAAAGGGTATAAAGAATTCAGAGGACTGCAATTTTACACAGAACATTTCTCTTTAATAAAAATATTGCAGCTTTCTTCCCTTTATTTTTAGCAACCACCTGGCTTGAGGCAGAAAAAGCAGTCTTGGATGTGCGTGTGTGTTTATGGGGGAAATTGTGGAGGAACACGTGCCTGTGTGTCTGCTTTATTCAAATAGGAGCAAGCCTAGCTTTTAATAATTTTAAATACATGACTGTTAGCATCAAAATAGTCAGAGAAAAGCCTGGATGGCTTTGTCTCTGTAATGTACCATGTTTTATCAACTAATGCCTGTCTCAGAAAGAGAGAACTGCGTGCCAGGGAAGAGACAGCTCAAGTGGATAGTTATATGCTGGACAAAAAGAAGCTGCTGTAAAAACCAGCACTAATATTGTGTCCAGGGTCCAAGACAGACAGATGTTGGAGATGAAATGCCACGTGGTGCAAGGAGAAAGAAGTGTTGGCTCTAAGAAGAGTGTTAGTCAATGAAGCAGCCAGACACACCATGCAGAAGCTTGTTAAACGTGTGATCTCACTTTGCTGTAGCCTTTCAGTGAAATGGGGGGAGTTTTGTCTCTCCCTCTCTGACTGCTTAAAGAAAAGACTTTCTGCCTTTCCCCACTATTCTTTGAAATGCAAACTTGTGGCTCATGATTAAGCCAGGTTCTCCTGAACTGTTTATAGATGAGGTAAGGAAACTGCCTGGGCAGGAGAGCAGGCTGCTTCTAGGTGGGTTATCTCAGATGGCAGACATGAGACTTCACACTTTTCCCAAAAGCTTTTCAAGTGGAGGAGCTGAACACAATTCAGTGAGCAAACCAATGTTCCTGCACATACACAAAGGGGAAGGATGACCAGACTCAAGGCTCCTAGTCCCTTCTGGACGTTCAGAATTTTATCATGACAGAGAATTCAGGTTTTCATTGAAAATAAGAAATAGGACTGTAGCTGCAGTACCTGACTGCAGGATATGCAAACAACTCAAAAGCCTGAAGATGCCCTGAATGTGTTACTAACTTTTAAACTACAGGGTTTCTAAACTCAGTCTACACGATCAGAATTTCTAACAGATTAAAAAATTTGGGATTGCTTGAAAAAGAAAATAAAAATGCTCCAAAATGAAAGTGTCAAAAAGATACACTTGGTCTTCCTTGCTGGTTGAAACTAGCTGAGAGATTCATGAATTATTTTGAAAGATCTGAGTGGCCTTTATTCAATAATGGAATTTATTGTGAGAAAATGTTATCCTTTCAACTATGAACTCACTCAGAGAGAAATAGTGTTTCAGTCCTTGCTATATATCTGAGATTTCAAACTGTTTCACATTTAGAACAGAAAATATGCCATCAGTTCATCAGCTTAGTAATTCTGAGTGTCAAAAGGACAGATATACCTCTTTTTTTGCCACAGTGTTGGCTGGAGAAGCAGAGATGTGATTTTCAGCATGGATAGGGCTGCAAATTACGAATTATTCTGTTTTATCCATGCTGTGCATGCATAGCAGATCCGTACATTTCCCTGCCAAGGATATTATATAAAAGATCTAGTTTTAACCTAATCAAAAACATCGTGAGAGCACAGGAAGCCAGGACACTTATATTGCAAAAGACTGACCTTCTTTGGTGGCAAGACGTGAGGAAGCTTCTGTGTGGGATGGCGTGTTGTAGACCAGCAGTGAGCTACCTATAAAGAAAAGAAAAGGAGTTATTGCAGTTTGAACACACTCTGCCAGTGGGGAACCATGCAAGCAAGGTAGAAAATACTATCACTGGGGTCTAAAGATCAGATTTTTCAGACAATTGAGCACATATTTTCTACGATGGAAATTAAATTGGTACACATATGTAACTGTTTCTCCACTTGCAAATCAAAATAAAGACATTTGCCTCCTTCACTGAGTGCCTTGATGTCCTCCATTGAAAACTGATATAAAAGGGTGAGGCTGTATCCTACGTTTGTACAGGTACAAGGTCTATCACAGCAGAGTCTCCAGAAATTACTGTGGCACAGATTGTATTACAGGATAAGGAAGAAGCTTTTCTCTCTAGAGCTGTGATAGAGAAATGTCCTGTTTGAGGAACATAGAGTAGAACTGGCATTAATTGCACTGTCAGGATCTGAACATTTTTAGAGTGTCACATGCTTGGTTTTGGGCCAACAGCTGCAAAAATCTCTGGTGTTCCAGCATCTCCCATACTTTGTGGAGTTTGAAAGTAGCTTTCTTGGTTCAGAGTGGCTATTCCATCCAACCCCACTTGAAACAAAACTATTGGAGAGACACACAAAAAAGAGCTCATTAGAAGGGTCTTTGTTTTGCAGCCTATGGTGGAAATGTTCCTTTCGAAGCATTTTATTTTGATTCTCCTGCAAAACTCCTCTGGAAATGGAGGAAGAGGCCCCGTGAGCTCTTGGAAGCCAGCATGTAATACACATTTCATGGTTGTCTAGTTAGATGTGTTTAACCTACATAATCTTCTAGGCTCACCTTTCCTACAGCTAAAGTTGCCACTGCATCAGGAGGTGATGTTCTTAACAAGGCAGAGAGCCCTTTGCAGGGACTGATGATGTCAACTGGAGCAGGGGAATGATCTCGCCCTGGACGAGAAGCGCTTTTACAGACACTTTCTGCTATTCAGATCTCCTCATCCCTCTATTCAGTGAGATTCTGTCCTATTGATCAGTCCTAAGCAACACACAGTATAGATTTCTGTATGTTCCAGCTGCCCCTGAGCATCTCCAGGCTCTTTGGCAGAGCTGAGAACACCTCTTTTGCAGGTACTATAATGCTGACTGATTAGGATCTCGTGACTAAACCGTGCAGTCTCCACATTCCTCTAATCCACATGATCCCAAATAACAGTGACCTCACTTGCCCCTCAGTAGTATTCACAGTATGTCTCACTTTCCTGTGAGAGCTGAGGATTAGGCAACTCACTGCCAGAAGTAATAGCCATTGCAGGTGCTGGATCTTATTAGCTTTGTGTTCCTATGGATTTATTTTCTTCCTCAAATGCAAACAAAGCCAAAGACGTGCACAAGCCAGCATGTAGACAGAGGTAGAAGGTGTTGGAAAACAAATCCTACTCATAAGGAGTGGAGGATGGATGCTACCAGATGCTGCAAGCCAGGGGATGTTTCAAAAGATCAGGATGGATAACGTGGTAAACTAGGGGAGAAAGAGTTCAAAGGGATCCCAGGGGTACCTTGACTGTGAAAGCTGCAGATAGCCAAAGTAATTGTCTTAAATATTGAGAGAGATTGGCTAGTCTGCTGCTGCTGCTGGAGGAGGGATTGCAACAGCTTTGTCCACCTAACTCAAGTTTTCATCAGATGGTTTCTGGCTTTGGCATTTCTTTTTTGTGGGGAAACTCACAGAATCACAGAATGTCAGGGATTGGGAGGGACCTCGAAAGATCATCCAGTCCAATCCCCCACCACTTTCTCCTTTTCAGGTTATTTGAAGTAGATCCTGAATGCAACACCCAGCCTAGCTTGCCCCAGACAGGGAAGTGCTGGGGAATTCAGAAACACGGTTTTCTATGACTAAATAGGCTGCAAATGCCTGGTTACACTGGCTGAGGAGGTGGGGGTGGGGTGATGAATAGCACTGAACCAGCCTGTATGATCAACCTATAGCTACTTGAAGCTAAAAAATGCAGCCCAAGCCACTGGAAAGGGACGGCGCCTCCCCCAGTTTAATTGCTAAAAGTTCTCACCTTTGCCCGACAGTCTGAGGTTTCTGGTGGGAACACCACAGAAAAGGAAATGTGTTTCCTATTAAGGGTTTTCAATGAAGGAGGAAAAGAGAGAAAGCCAGAGACACAGATCAGGACAGAGAGAAGCAAACAGACAGAGGCCAGGCTGCTCCCTCCCTTACTTGTTCTTGGGCAAAACTTTGGCTGTGATGAATTTTCATTTTGTTCTGATCCCCCCCACCCCTCACTGGGTCAGTGACAGCTCAGATTAAATCAGCTCTTTCTGGAAACACTGCTATTATTAATAAAGTACAGGGCTATTCTCCTATAATTAATATACAGCATGTTAGCTTATGGGTCCCTCCACCTTTTCCTTTCTTCTTTTATTTCCCTTGCATTAATTAAAGAGGAAGATGGAAAAAGACTGAAAAACAGAGCAGGGGAGTTTTTTCCCTATAAAGCCGTCATTTCATGAGGCAGCTCATCCTTCTGAGATGCAGGAACATCCTGGTTTCACAATCTTGAAGTCTATTTAACCTGGAAGTCTTTTTTTTTACCCTGACCTTCTGGAGGCTGTGTGGCCTTCCCTCCACATCTCCTGGTAGAATCAGGGTTCTGCTGCATTTAGCTGTATAGTTTTGTTTGGCATTGATATACAACTTGAAATCACAAAGCAGTTTTCAGTTTCTGCTTCTCACCACGGTCTCATTCTTTCCCTTTCAAGGCTCTTTTCTTTTGTACGCACCACAAACAACCGACCTCCCATCACTAGTGAGGAAAAGGACAAGAGGTGACAGTTCAGGCTTCATTTGATGTTCATCCCAAAACATAGCATGAAAACATTCAAACCTCCCTTCCCACTGCCCACTGGCTGACTGGAGAAGATTCACCAGGCAGACTGTGTTTGAAAAAGATGTCAACACAGCAGTCAGTCAGTCTGGAGTCCGAAGGTGCAGGGGGATGAATGAGAAGAAAAGGTCAAAGCATGGCTTCACAATTTCAGAGAGGAAACTGGAAGAAGCCCTTAAAAAAATTGTTTGGGGAAAGAGGATAGTAAGTTCCCTGGAAAAATTATTGGGGGGTGTTTTGAAAGACTCCAAAGGATAGAGGTGCACTGCAGAACTGGGTTCTGCGAGTCTGAAACCTCCTAAAGATCAGAGACATCTGAATTCCTGAGTGCTTCAACAGGTTACAGAAACAGGAAACAACTGCACGATTCTGATCCAGACCTAAGTTTTGCCTGAAGAATAAAGGTGCTGTGATATGACTTTGGTTTAGTCTTGACTCTATTAAATAGCTCACCTGAACCTTCTATCTCCAAAAATAAGATTGAGCTTTTGTTGAGGTCTTGCAGATGTTACTGGTTTATATTTTTTTCAATGTGGACTCAGATGTGCCAAAATAACGTATTTCATAGGCAGTTTTTAGGAGTCCAGAATGTTGAAAACCTTCTGAGGAAGCTAATTTTCAGGGGGACTCCCTGCCTGGCTAGCAAACAGGCTCAGAAAGGTCAAATCAGCTTTGTTCCTTGGAAAACAAACAGCAAAGTTTAGGATTCACTAGTCATCACATATCCAGCTTAAAATCCTGAGAGGACAAACACCTTTCAAGAGAGAGACTGGGCTCTGTAGCCTAGCCTGGACTGCAGCCCATAGATCTGTAATTCCCCAAAGTTCTCCTGTGTTCTGTTGCCATCATGTATTCTCCATCCTAAGCTTGAACAGAGCTGGATGTCTCTGTAACAACCAACCTTACGAAAGGGGAAAAATCATGAAAAAAAAGACCATCTCCCCATGGCACTGAGCTCAGAGGCTCAGCACTAAACATCCGCTGGAAATCAGTCTGGAAAAACAATAAGGTCCTTTCGAAGGCGTTACTCCGTGAGGGAGTTAACCAGCAAATCCAGAAACCAGACTGTCATTAGGCAGCGCTCGGAACAGCTGCATGGAAAGGAATGCTCTTCAGAGGCTGCCCGGCCTCCACTCAGACAGGAGCTTGCTTTAATAAGGACAGCACTCACATGACGTCTTAGAACAGCCCAAGGGGTTGAAGAGAGAGAAATTTATAATCGTAAAAGCTGGGGAGGGACTGGGATTGAATTCTCCTTTCGTATGCATCCACGTAAAATTGGACTAATTTGTCTGAATTCACCAAAGTCGCTCGGGTTTTGTCCTGGCTTCACAGCACAGAAATCATTGTAGGCATTCCTTTGGCAGAACATTAGATTTTTATGATGATTATTTAACTGAGCATGCATTGCAGCAGCACTCAAATGTTACAACTGCTTTAGGGCTCCATTGTGCTGGGTCTTGAGAGACAGGAGAGACAATCCCTGTTCCACAGATTTGCCATCTCAACAGATAAGACCAAGAAGAAGGCAGGATTACTAGCTCCATTTTACAGAAAGTAAAACTGAAGTCCAGAGGAGCTGAGATAAAGCTTTATTCCTCCTAATTTCAGAAATTTAAAGCTTTATTCCTCCTAATTTCAGAAATTTAAAGCTTTATTCCTCCTAATTTCAGGAGTTTAAAGGCAGTGTGTGAACTAGGGGACTACTATCCTGAATTTCAATGTGCCCTGTTTCTTCTTTTCTACAAACAGAAACCAGTGTGACCAGATTTCTAAGTCAGGGGCTTCAGGTATCTAAAGGTAGGTAGGATCAATCAGGAATTTGCTCCTGAATGAATGGACAGCAGCAAATGGTAGAGGTGGCAATTAAATCCAGGTCCTCAGGCTTATGTAATGAGAGCAAGAACACAATTCCTCTTTGAACACCTCAAGAAATGGGATCCCTAACCCTTGTGACTATCACTGGAGATGGTGTCTGGAGCTAAAGCAGCAGAAGAATTCAAGTCTTCTGCCAACCTTTTCAAATTCAGCCTGGTTCTTTGATTCAGAAAACATACAACTCCTTCTTCATCTCTTTCTGTCAATTCTCAAGTCTTATCAATGAGACAATTCAAGTGTCTCACTTGATTATTTATCTTGTGGGAATTTAAAAACATTTCCGGTTACAAAGCGTCTGATTTGCCCAGCCAAAGTCAGCAGGTTTGGCCAAAGCACCACTGGCTTCACAAAACTGCCTCACAATTTCCTGTAAAAGTGTGTAATTCTACATGCAAACCCTACTTCTAAAGCTATTCTGTGTCTGCAATAATCTTGAAATGTTCTGTGAACCAGCAGCTCTTTGCTGATGAAACAGGATGAAATTTGCAAGTTATTTTGGATGGGAAATTATTTTATTGTGAAGTCGCAAGGGATAAAAACTGTTCAAATCCAACAATTTGTCATGAATCATTTCTTTGGCTTTGACTTCTCACAAAAAAGAAAGGTGGGGCTTCCAGAGGCCCCCATCTGTGATCTAACTCGTGTCCCACTGTAATCTGTAAAGCTCCCACTGATTTTAGCAGAGGCAGGGAGAGACCAGGGCTGAGCTGCTTTGAAGAAACACCCTAAATAAATGCAGTCTTGCTGCTTTATTACACCCGCCAGCTGGAGACATCTTCAGCTGCCTTTATATCACAAGTTTGGTTTCCCAGTGGAGAAAATATACTTTTTTCTTTCTCTCCCTGCCCTCCCACTTTGCTTTATGGCACCTTCCCCTGATTTTTCACTCCTCAAATAATTACACACCAAAAAAAAATTGTTTCATTTCAAAAATATATCAGAGCATGTGGGATTTAGCTCCAGTTCTCTGGTCTCATCATAACATAATTCTCCTTAGCACACCTTTGTGAAGAAATGAAATGCTTTAACCTCTGTTTTATAGATGAAGAGGAGGCATTCAGAAGCTCTGGACATGCTCGTGGTTGCACAGGAAGCCTTAGAAAGGTCTGAATCTAAGACTCCCAGCCTCAAGATCGTGTGCTAACCATAAGGTGATCACTCCTGTTTGGGCTGCTGCAGTATGCTTTTCCAGGAGTAGCTCAGAAGACTCCTCACAGCTTGTCTCTGAGGTGCTTAATACAGTAAAAAAGGAGAATTGAATCCATCACACACTCTATTGTGGAGCAGAGAGTGGCTCAAGGTTCAGCAAAACTTGTTCTTTGAGTACAAGGTCATTTGCACGACACAATCACATTCAGGGAATCACTCTTGGTTTTTTTTTTCCTCTTGCCAACAAATCTGAGCCTCCAGGAACATAGAAAATCTCCAGCTCTGGCCCATTGTGGGTCCTATTTTGAAGCAGTCTTTCCCAGAAGCCTTAGGGGAAAGTGCACAGCCCTCTAACTGCAAAGTTATGGAATATTTTGCCCATGATACATCAGTTAATGTTTGGTTTAATCTCCATAGCAAATTTATGTATTTTTATCATATAGCCACAGATGTGTTTATTATCTGTAAGACTATCTAATCTTCTTAAGAGTCCTGCTCAGTTCTTCACCTCCCTGATAGCACCACTAACTCCATCTAAGTTATAATTAACTTTCCAACCCATATTTTATTCCTCCCTTCCTTGTTTGCTCTCTCTGCTTGCCCTTCTCTGTTCTTTTTGTCTCATCTTTGCTCTTATTTGTCCTGCAAGAAGAGCCCTAGAAGTTCAATACTCAGGGCAGCTTACCCTATCAGCATGTCACACTAGGGCAATACTTACTTTCCCTGAGGTAACTGAGGTGAGACAACAGAACTTCTGTGTTGTAGAGGGAGGTGGTTCGGAGGAAGTCATCCTTGTTCATTTTGCAGAGCTCCTTGCCATCCATGTTCTGGAAGATGGTGGTGTCAATCTCCATTAATCCATATTCCTTTATAGCCCATTCCAGCCACTGGCGCACGTGTTCCTGGGTCCATAGGGTGGGATCTAGCAGGAAAGCACAAAAGATGGTGACAATATACACAAACCTCAAACCTACACACTCACTGTAGCCCAGTCAAAGCACTAACTGTTGTTTCCACTACCAAATGGATTTAATTTACTGATGCCAATGCATTTTGCCAGGATGAACAAGTACTGTGCTATAACAGGGCTGAAGGCACGTACATTGATCACCCTGACCCTCTGGCAGGGTAAGTTCTCTTGATTGTTTCCCAGCTGCCTGAATTTTATACCTTATGCTTGGGAACAATATTAGTGACATTTGACTGTGACTTTTTTTCCCCCTGGAAAAACACTTCCAAAAGCAAACTCATCCCTTTTAAAGGGTATGCTTGTCACAGCTTGGGTTCTGTAATGCTATGGAATTACATCAGCGCTCTATAAGTCACACCATCCTTCACAAGTGCGTTACAAAGTCCCAACAGATGGCATTTTAAAGTCTGAGGATGGTGGTATTTATGGTCAACAAAGGGACTCTGAAAAAAATAAAATGTTATTGCTTAAACAGAAGAGTTTGCCATGTATCTCTGAGTCACTTCTGTTCACCCCGCTGACAAGAACACAATTCTACCTCCGCTAGCCCTGTAAAACCAAGACAGCTATTGGAGGGCAATGTGGATTTTATACTGTCTCATGCATCATTATCAACTGTCAGCAAAGCTCCAGCTGTGGAATCTTTATTACTGGCGATGACGTAAGAGAGAGATTGAACCCGGCTGGAGTTTCAGACCCCATGGTGATGGTTTGCTGCATCAGTAGTTAAAAAAAGAAATCATCCTTTGTGTTTCGAAAAGAGCATTAGATCAGAAAGTCCCAGAAAGAATTTGTGCCATGATACCATTTTCACAGAGTCATTTTCAGAGCATATCTACATTTTCAGATGTTTCCTGTGCTGCCTCTCCCCACGTATATCCCATTTGAAAATTTAAGCTGCAAATTCAAGTTCCATTGCAGCTGGAGAGGATTGTGAAGTCAAGCCTTGACTTTGGAGATGTTTGATCTGTCCATCATGGCTGGTACATCCCTCTAAGATAAACCTCAAACACTTCAGGTCCTGAGGCAGCTGAGAAAACGGATCAGAAACATGTTGCCATCACACAGCTGGTAGCTTGTGTTTTGGGTGGGGACAAAAAATGCCTCTGCCACATGTTTTATAGTGTATAAAATAATGTCTTGGCCCAGGACTATAAACTGTGTGTGCTGGGGCTGCAGGGATGCCTTGACACAAAAGGTCAGGTAGTGGCTGTACCTGGTACATTCCTGGGCAGTCGAGTTCCAGAAAAACAGCATGAAATGGAGAAGAAAGGCCAAGGAATATTGAAATGATAACTGAGACATTTTCTCACCGAGTTTCTAGTAAAACCAGGTTGCTTCAAGTTGAATTTTAAACATGGAACTTACAACTCCATGTCTCTGTAAGTCTGCTTTGGGAAAGAAAGATGGATTTCCTTTAAATTTTGGCAATAGTCAATTGAAATTCTGCTTTCTAAGCACTGGAAAAAGTCTGCAAATTTTACAATGCAAATATTCAAAAGAGGATTTTTTTTTTTAATTAAAAGAGTTATTTGTCTTGAGGTTTTTTTAAGAAAACCCCAACATTTAGAGGGCAGAGTTAATTTGTGGTCTCCTTTTAAACAAACACTTTTGAATTTCAGATATTTGCTCAACCTATTTATGGCTGCCAAAGACATTGAATGGTCTCTGAAAAACTGCCTTCTTGAAACAAGGCTCAGAGTTCGTTATTATTACTATTGCAAGCCTAATGTGACATTATTCTTGCCTATCTTCACCCTAATGCGCTATAAATCCTCACTCTGGATTATATTAAAATTTCCAAATGCCTTTCTTGGATGAATTTGGCCTCATATCCTGCAGCCAGAGATCTGGGATGATGTTCATTATTGTCTTCCAAAGTCTGGTAAATCACTGTTATTTCACAAATATCTCAAGGTTTTGATTTGTGGATGCTCATGAGGGGAAAAAAAAAGTCCTTTTTTTTTAACTTCTCTTCAAAGAGGAGATTTTAAACCTTCTCTACCACTGAAGGGACTAAAATTCAATTCCCTTGTTTCTAAAACAATGTTAAACTTTAGCCCACCCTTGGTCTTTCTAAATATTCATTAATAGCATGGTGAAGGGCAGGATAAATGTTCCCTCTTGAATATCTTTAATAACATAAAGACTAATTGGTGTTAGCTAACACCTTCTAGGCAACGTTGATGCTGAAAACATATCTGATGCTGTCACCAATTAGGTCAACCAGTGTCTCTAAGCAGATCCTAACAATGGCTTAAAAGGTACTTGGAGATTTGCTGTCAATCTTTTTATTGGCTTCCCTTCACTACATTCAGTTCAAGCTTTTCCTTTTCATCCTAAATAGCAAACAAATGCTTGGGAATTGTCATCTGTTCGTGGTCAAGCCACGATCAGAAAACAAAGCTGAATTCCACGAGTACATTTCTTTCTGCCAACAGTTCATCTGCTTAAATCAGCTACAACCCTGGGTGAAACCCTCACAACACTGGGTGAAAAGCTGCACCCTTTGAAATCAGTGGAAGTTTCGGGACATAAATCCTTGACTCTCTCTTGCAGCTCTCATCCTTGACTATCCAAACACATCTAATGCATCCTGCCAATTTCAGACAGCAGATGTGGATATCAAATACAGAGAACTGGACAGGAATGTTTCTGTGTAACAATTTTTGGAAGGATAATGTACTTCCTGCAAAATATAATTTTCTGGTTTTCTACTTCTAACAAAAAAAAAAAAAAAGAAAACAAAATAGCTCATTTTGAATCAATATGACATGAAAGTGCGTCTGTATCCTGCTGAGCATCCTGGGAGTTAGAATTTGGGTCCACTTCATGCTTTTTCTTGCCTATGAACTGCGTTCTTTGATCATACCACGCATGTCCCAGGAAACACTGCAGATTCTCCTCTAACACATGACGAGAGATGGATTTGGTTCAATGCAGCTAAACAACACTTCATTCTGGAAAGGAAAGGAAAGGAAAGGAAAGGAAAGGAAAGGAAAGGAAAGGAAAGGAAAGGAAAGGAAAGGAAAGGAAAGGAAAGGAAAGGAAAGGAAAGGAAAGGAAAGGAAAGGAAAGGAAAGGAAAGGAAAGGAAAGGAAAGGAAAGGAAAGGAAAGGAAAGGAAAGGAAAGGAAAGGAAAGGAAAGGAAAGGAAAGGAAAGGAAAGGAAAGGAAAGGAAAGGGAAAAGAAAATGGAGAAGAAGCACTAATCCTTTACTTCTAATTCTGATTCAAGGTAGAACATATCCTGGGACACGGGAAATCCCCACTAGCCAGAAACTCAGCTATTTTCCTTATTTTTTACATGGTTTGTAAAAACGAGAATCCCTCAGAGAGTGGATAAACAAGCCTCATCTGTTCAGTTGGATGTTTAAGACATTGCAAGGAAATATGACACAAAGAGTTTGATGGTGGTGGTACCTGCTGGGACAATGACTCTCCTTTCATTGGTGGTCATGTTGGGAGGAGGTCCGTTCTTCTCATCCATGTAGGTGCTGTAACTCATTGGGTTGGACTCTGTCCCTGCTCCGACGAGTTTGTTGCATTTGTTCACACTACAGTCTACGGGGGACTCCCTGAAATGCAAAAGGAAACAGGTGACTTGTCATTATTCCACACCTTCCATCCCTGCTGTAGCACAAGGAGGTTTGGGTTCTGGGAATGGCAGCTATCCCCAAGATAAAAAATGAAGGGGAATTTCTTTACATGTGGGAGAGGCCATCCCTGCCCTGTCACATGAATGTCATAAGGTAATCTATGAATCACAAGCCTCATGGAGGGGATCTCTAATAATGAAACCAGTTGGAGGAGAGTGTTGGAGGTGCAAAGAAGAGTGACCTTCAGACAAAGGCAATGGTAGCTGTAAGGTCCTACCTCTGAAATACCAGAATTCACAAAGCAGATAAAAAGCGGGTGCCTATCACATAGATCTATCGGTTACACTCCCCACTCCCCCTTCATCCTTGCTCAGCTATATTTTAGCAATCCTTCAGATACACCTTGATGCTCCTAGGAACCCTTATTGGACTGTTTCTCTCTTTCATGGTGTTAAAAACAACCCCACACACCGTCTTGTTGTTATAGCAGAGTCTATCAGTTGACAGAAAGGCTTTACTTCTCACCCCATGGCCTAAGGCAGAGCTAATCAGAAATACAGACACACCTCCCTCCATTTCTTTAATGAAGAACAGACAATACCCATGCCAAAGTGACAGGACAGTCACAAGACAATAACATTAGTGTGGTATCTAAAGAGTCTTATTCCTACAGGGCTGAAGGTAACTGATCTGGTCTGTTCTTGACAGTGAAACAGTCCCAGGCTTGTCTACTACTTGGGTTTGAAATCTTAGGTGCCTTAGGGGTGAGTCAAGAACCTCAGACCACAAAAACTGTGTGAAAAAGGGTCTGGCCCCAGTTTTCCTTCTGAGGTGATGGAGTGATGAGGAGGGAACATTTAGCAACTCAGGTGGCACTGTTGCTAAGACCTGGACTACATGCAGACCCTTGGCAAGCAATAGGCTTTCTCTGTCCTACTCTGGGAGAATTATGAGCCTCCAAACCACAGACAGAGAGAACAGATTTTGTTTTTCTCCAGTTGCAGTAGTAACTCGTGCTTTTAGCTCTAGAGGTCACTTAAAATACCGGGTCCACAGCCTGTCACTGGCACACAGCACATCCCAGCCTTGAAGAATGTACCAGGGAAGGGCAGCGTTCTTGCCCTCACTGTTATAAGTCACACCATCCTTAAATTAAAGCAGTTTAGTCCACTGCTTTAATCACACAGCCGTCCTTCTTCCCTGCCAGAAGCAAAGTGGCCTGGGAGGAAACTGTTCACTGAAGGGTAAGAACTACGACAGTGCACCAAATCCCACCCTCTGAGTTCAGCTGGCAAAGCTTCCAAGTTTGGACACTAAACAAATTTGTTTCTTAATCTGAATGGGGGGGAAGGAGGGAGAAATTACTGAAATTCAGTTATCATGGCTGGGAGATAAATGCTCCACCGAGATATTCTAAGGCAGATGGTAATTTTTTCCTCATGTCTTGCTAAGGGAATGTTGCTTGAAAATGGAAATAAGATGTATAACTTACACATGTTCGAATTTAAGGTTTTACTATTTCGCCTACTGTTTTTCCAGGCAGGGAACCAAAATCCGCCTTCAGAGAGGCAAACTGCTGAAGGTTTAATGTCCCCGTGGCAGTCAGGGGAGAGTCTGAGCAACTGCAGGGACACCAGGGTTTTCAGAGGGAACGCCATCATTTCTAACTTTCTGGTGAAATACTCTGTGTCAGGTGTGAAACGCTGCTTGTACTGGCAGAGAAAAAGCCCTGGGGCAGCACAAAGGGTCTGATTCTGTCCTGAGGTACAGGCTGTCCTCAGAAGACTCGGTGAAAACAGTCAGAGCATCCGTGCTTCAAGGTGTCAGACTCTCTTTGGCTTAGTGCTCACCATCCCCAGGAAGTGACCGACCTCCTTGCCTGCCCTGCCTGGAGACCAGCTGCTGACTTTAAATGGTGTGGGCAGCCCAGCTGGTGGGGCAGACCCAAACACACATATATCCTCACGTATGGATTCCCACCTGCCTTTGGGATGAAGTTCTCCCTCTTTCAGACACAACAGTAAAATTTTCTTTGCCTTCCCTGTGGTCAGCATGTCCAAAGTGCCTGCAGTGCCTACTGCCTGAGGTCCTTCTAAGGGGTTTGCTCTCACCATCCTGCTCTGTAGTTAAATTTCCCTGGAAAATAACCCCCGCAGCTGAGGTACACGCTATTTATGATTAAATAGTTACAGATATAATACTCCTACAGAACTACAGGGTATATCCAGACTCCCAGATAATAATATCTTCTAAAAAGCTTGTCTGCCTAAGAGTAGAGATGGTTTCTACTGGCATGAAATGACACACACATGAAAAGACCACAGAGTCTGTGTCTGTCTCTACTCTCTCTGCTAAGTATCGTGCACATTCACATGACCGATACGGCAAAGTAACTAAAATAACACCAGGGCTGTAAGATATCTCCTCGGTGGTTTTGTGATGATATTTCACTTTGCAGACTCTAGGTTTGGCAGTTAGGACCCTGCCTATCCTCTTGTCTTGCTCTGTATGTCTCAGCAACCAAAACCAGACAACCAAGTATCAGAGACAGATCTGAAAAAGAAGTTTAAGGGACTGAGGTCCTTTAACAACCACAGATTTACCACTGTGGGAAAAGAAGCCACTCTGTTAATCCTGCAGGACATTAAAATGGGCTGCATCTACCTGACAGGGTTGTATCCATGTGGCTGTGTAGACACCTCCCTTCCCTCTGAGGAAGTTTTCAGGATGACAACCAAGTATCAGAGACAGATCTGAAAAAGAAGTTTAAGGGACTGAGGTCCTTTAACAACCACAGATTTACCACTGTGGGAAAAGAAGCCACTCTGTTAATCCTGCAGGACATTAAAATGGGCTGCATCTACCTGACAGGGTTGTATCCATGTGGCTGTGTAGACACCTCCCTTCCCTCTGAGGAAGTTTTCAGGATGGTTGGATCCAGCAACCACAAATTTACCACTGTGGGAAGAGAAGCCACTCTGTTAATCCTGCAGGACGTTAAAATGGGCTGCATCTACCTGATAGGGTTGTGTCCATATGGCTGTGTAGACAACTCCCTTCCCTCTGAGGAAGTTTTCAGGATGGTTGGATCCAGAGCTAACTCCAGGGGAAATCTGATAGCAGAAGGACAGAGGTAACTGGGAGTAGCATCACCAAAACTTAACCAAGCAGGAGACTGAACTGTCCTTAGGAAAAATAACATTAAATCCTTAGTGACAGCAAGTGGGAAGATCCTTATTTTTACATCCTCTGTTGTCCCAGCATTTCCTACCAGATCCAAAGGGAGCCTTTGATTGAGAAATGAGACAGCACTACCAGACTGAATCACCTTTGCAGCTCCTGGACAAGCTCCTGGACATCCACTACTGTACTACCCCAGCCTAACATGAGGGATTTAACAGTATCCCAGCAGAAGGTAGGTGTAGCTGTGGGCAACACAAAGAAGAATTCAGTGTGGGGGAACAACTACAGTATCAAATGAGAACAGGGAGCTGCGAGCCATGAATAGTGTATTCATTGAAAATAGCTCCTTTCTTAGTTCATGCTTTACCCACAAGCAGACTCAGCTTTATATAAAGATTTCCTCATTATTTGAAACGGTTTGTGCAAGGGGATTTCAGATGCCAGATTAATCCTTGACTTTTCACAGAGACTTCAGACTTTCAAGTGGCTGAACACGCTGAACTTGCTTAAGTTCTGGGCAAAAAACATTGTAGATCTACTAAAGTAAATGGATATAGGCTGCTCTCACAAGATCTCTTAAGTATATTCAGTGTGGCAGTGACAGAGTCCAAGGAATATGAAGCAGTGCTCATTCCCACTGTCCGTCCAAAGACTCTTCGTTCCAGCAGCTCTAGTAGCAGTCTCTGGGGATGCCAAGAGCTTGGTGTTTTTGGGAAGGTTTATGTTAGACTGGCCAAAATGGACAAGCAGCTAGCCTGGCATCAACTAATAAATCCTCTGTACAGCTTCAGCCCACGTTCCAGATACCTGAAAACAAAGCAATTACTGTCCCAGGGTCTCTGTCTAGGAATCACCTTTGGCTTTCATTGGAAAGAGCAAAATAAGAGATTTCAGTGATTTCTGAACCTGACTCAGCTGTGGTCAGTGGGATATTTCCTCCTTCTTTCTATCCTTTTCTTCCTATCCTTTCACTCCTCTTCCCATCTTTTTTTCTTTTTAAATTTGCCACTTTTTGGTGTTAAGGAAGTAAGAGCAGATATATTGTCATTCTGCTTGTGGTTCCCTCTTCCAGGCAGGGAATAGAATCATAGAATCATAGAATGGTTTGGATTGGGAGGGACCTTAAAGCTCATCCAGTCCCAACCCCCCTGCCATCAGCAGGGACACCTTCCA